AACAACTGTCCATAACTCCAGTCCCAGGGGATCCGACAGTCTCTTCTGACCTCCTTGGGCATTGCATGACATGGGTGCACTGACCTACATGCAGGCAACACGCACATACACATAAAATAAAAATAAAAAATTTTAAAAGAAAAGGCAGGAAGATTCTTGCAGCTTGATGGCCACTCAACCTAGCCTAATTAGCAAGGCCCAGGTCCCAGTGAGAGACCCTGTCTCAAAAAACAAGGTGGACAACTCCTAAGGAACAATACCTGAAGTTGACCTCTAGCCTCTACACATACATGCACCTATATACACGTGCAGGCACACACATGCATTCATACCCACACTTGCACTCCACACACATGAATACTTCTTCAAAAAACTTTTCTGATCTTAACAGACATCAATTAAAAAGGGGAGCAATATTTTTAAATTAAGTCACTCAAACATAACTATGACCTATTATTATCTGACATTAGCTTGTTATCCAGGCCAACTTATTGGGTTCAACAATTCCAAGCGTGTATTAAAAACATTTTCAAAGTATTTATATCAGAGATTCTCACTATTGGCATTACTGATACTTTGAGCTACTTTTGTTGTTGTTTTGAGACAGGGTCTCATACAACCAAGGCTGGCCTTCAACTCCACACTATGCCAGGCTTTTGAATGGATACTTTGTTTTGTTACAGGGGCTGTCCTTTGAATTGCAAGATGTTCCTAGCATTCCTGGCCTCTACCTACTGCAGATGCACTAAGAATTATAGGAGATGGGGCTGGAGAGATGGCTTGGTGTTTAAGAGCACTTGCTGTTTTTACAGAGGACCCAGGTTTGGTTCCCTGCACCCACATGGTGGCTCACAAGTTTATAACCCAAGATTCAGAGATCCGACGCACTCTTCTGGCCTTCGAGGGCATTGCGTAAATGTGGTACACATGCATACATACATGCAAAAACTCACACATATAAAATAAAAAGAAAAAAATCTCGGGCCAGGCATGGTGGTGCATGTCTTTAATCCCAGCACTCAGGAGGCAGAGGCTGGTGGATCTCTGTGAGATTGAGGCCAGTCTGGTCTACACAGCAAGTTCCAGGTCATCTAGGGCTACTGGGAGACCCTGTCTGAAAAAAAAAAAAAACCCAGCAAACTAACAAAAAAAAAATTTTAAACAAACAAAAAAATGAATTATAGGAGATTCCAAAAGAGATGCTGGCAAAGCTGTACCTTGGCTGGAAAATCCTCAATGACTTTCACCAAGTCTTGGCAGCGTTGTGCAAAGGGTTTATTAGTAGAGTCAGCTTTCAGGGTAGCCTAGATAACAAAGTGAGAGAATCATAAACAGACTTGCTGTGCAGTTCGTGCAAATACTCTGTCCCAAATCAAAACAGAAACACAAGCAACAGAAATATATAACCACTGCCTGGTCACTAACATTTCACGCATCAGGTGCCAATGGCACACAGGAAGCCTCTAGAAGAAGCTGCAAGTCTGCCACCCTGGACCAGAAATTCTCAGGTGTTCTCCCTCAGGCATCCTGTTACCTCAAAGGAAAGGAAACTGACTCCCACTGATCCACAGGTAGGGGTTCAGCATCAGGATCAGCTCCATAGTGGGGACAGGATCCCTGTTGTACAGGGATCTCTCTCAGTTCATCCACGCTCAAATTTATACACAGGAATTAGAAACCTCTCACTTCCCATTGCCATGATCATCAGTGACAATGACCAGTGAAGAAGAAGCCTACTGGACTCACCACCTTAAAAAGTCTGAAGCTCAGATGACCTCAGCCAATCAGGACAATGGAGAGATCAGCAAAACACTCAGGCAGGAACCAAGGCGATCTACCTGAGGCCATGGGAGGTGCGGACAGCACACTGACTCCATGGAGAAGTGGTCTCTGGGTAAACAGGCTGAGATCAGGAGATGCCAGAATTTCAATGAGCAGGCTTTGACCAAGGATATCTAATGCCTTGACCACCTCCAAACAAGAGATTGCATGGGGCCTGGATCAAAGATGGAGACTTAGCCATGGGTCAGGCCTGCTGGCTCCAGAGAGGTATACCAAGGAAGGCTGCCCTTCCAAAAGTTTGGATGTTCACAAGTTATTACCTTCCGAGAACTGAAATGAAGAATCTTCATCACCTATATTTGTCTCACACTGCTTTCCTGCTTTAGGTTTAACACCTAAAATGCAGCCCTACTGCCCTCAGAACAGCAGTGTCCCTCCATTTTTACTGAGGACAGTTGTGATTATGAGAACTTCACACACACAGTTTACACATCATGAACATCTGATGCATATTCTTCTCACTTCTTCTTCCTCATACTCTGGAAAGTAGGGAATCACTCTTGGGTTTTTGGTTATTTGTTTTGTTTTGTTTTTGAGATAGGGTTTTACTCTGTAGCCCAGGCTGGTCTCAAACTCTTAGCACCTCAAACTCTTAGCAATTTTCTTGCCTCAATCTCCCAAGCATTAGCTGAGTGAACTAACTTGGTAGATGAAAAAACTAGAATTCAGAGATTGAATAAATGCCCTACACTAAGAAAAGGCAAAGTCACCAGGTGTGGTGGCGCACATGCCTTTAATCCCAGCATTTGGGCGGCAGAGGCAGATGGATCTCAACCAAAGCCAACCTATTCTACATAGCGAGTGCTAGGCCAGTTGAGGCTACAGAGACCCTGACTCAAAAAAAAAAAAACCCCAAAAACAAATAATTTAATTTAATAATAATAATGAAAAAAAAAAAAACTGAAAAACAACCACTAGAGAGTTTTTCCAAATCAGCTGGGTATGGTGGCACAAGCCTAAAATCCCAGCACTTGGGAAAACAAGGCAGAGGATCATGAGATCAAGAGGCCCAGCATGGCTACATAGCAAGATTCTGTCTCAAAACAACACACACAGAGAGAGAGAGAGAGAGAGAGAGAGAGAGAGAGAGACAGAGAGAGAGACAGAGAGACAGAGAGAATCTTTCAAATCAATAGAAAGAACTCCCAAGTTCCTCAGCTAAAGAACCATCATCAGTACTCTCAAAGGAAGCTGATACCTACCAGGAGGAAGCTCGGCTGCTGCAAGTGAGGGAATGCCATAGCAGCTTCACAGAGAGAGTCAAAAATGGCTGCCTTAGGGGGCCACTGCAGAAAAACAAAGGGTCAATCTCAGTACCTGCTCCATAACAGGTTATACAATTTCACAATGTCCAGGAGAACATTTGAACTTAACACATACAACAACAGTATCACACAAATATTCTTTTGTTTTATATAATGCCACTCTCATACAGTTCATGGTAGCTGCTTCAGAGCCAACTCTGTGGTAATGATTCCTTGGTAACATTTGTACAGCAACTGTTAGATGCCAGGACTGGTTCTAAGGTCTTTTCTTTCTTCCTTCTTTTCAATTTTTATTTTTTGAGAATTTTATACATGAGTATATTTGTACTATTTCCACCACTCCCTGTTCCCCTCCAATTCCTCCCATATCTCCCAACTCCCTCACAATATCTTGTCCTCCTCTTAGTTACTACTACATATACACTTATAAATATATATGCATATACATAATACCCTGAGTCCATTTAGTGGTGCTTGTGTGTACATCAGTTTAGGGCTACCCAAGTGTGATAACCTCTTAGGGAGGAGTCCCTGGAGAAAACTGATTCTCCTAAGGGATTTTCATGTATTTCCTCAACTAATTACCAGTGACAGGCAGGGATTTTTGACAGTTCCCCAAGATTATTCTCTCTTGGCTATTCAATTAAACACTCATCTAAGGACTGTTGTAAAGAGATTCTGAAGAGCCAAATGAAGTCCCATATCAATGGGACAAGGCAGTGTTCAGCTGGAAGTTCAAGAACTCAAAGAAAGTGGATGCTGCCAGCAAGCTGAATAAGCTTAGAAGCAGATTCCTCCCCTAGAGACTGCAGATAAAGCCATGATATATCACCTTGATTTTGGCCTTGCAATATCCTAAGCAGATTAACTCAACTGTGCCTTCCTGGACTTCTATGTAACCATGAGAAAGCAAATGGGTGCTACTTTAGGACGCTAAGTTGAGCAAAAACACATCTTCACAATAACTCTAGGAGGCCAGAAACAGATGAGGAAACAGCCAGAAAGAGGCTAGAACACCACACTATGCTGTGAAAAAGATCAAGTTCTGCCAAGGGAACCTAGAATCAGCCATCACAAAATTAGGAGTCTCTTCAGTTTTTTGCTTCTCTGCCCCATGGTCAGAACATATAACACCCAGAGTTGGACAGGGCAGAGAGGAACCTGCAGAGTGACATCGAAGGACTTGTGACAGCTTTTCTGGTAGAGCTCTGCTCACCAAAGGAGTAAAGGTGCCAAAGTGGCAACTGGCAGTCTGGAAGGAGGGGGAGAAGCTGGGCGTAAAGGAGTGTAGGCAGTTGGGGTTGGCTAGAGAAGACCACCAATCTTTGCACTTGGCAAGAGGCCTCCCAGGCTTTCCCACTAAACTAGCTATTAATTTCAGTGTCAATGAAAATTTAAAACACTGCAGTCCTGACCTACTTTGCCAGAACACCGCACACTACTACAAAATCCCCGGAGCAGCATAAAGCTGTGGACTGTTTGCTAAAGACAGAGCTCTAGGGATGAAGTTACTCTTCCCCGGCCACTTGCACAGACCGCAGCAAATTGCATGAGGCCCGGGGACGTCAACCTCGTGTCTTTCCACCACATTTACTTTTAGAGCCGGTCAGCCCGGATCCGCTCACCATGCCATCTGCATGCTGCTTCCATTCTGTTCTGGAAGTTTTTATGGAGCAAGTCGGAGACCTCGGGCCCAGCTTATCCCGCACGGCCAGGCCCTCCCTGGGGCTGCACCTGGGAAACAGAGGCTCGCCCCCAGATGCTCACGAATGTTCTCCAGGGTGACTGTATCGAGACTGCCCTGTTACAGAGGAAACCGAAACTGCGAAGTCGAGCCCCCGAGGCGGGAAGGTGGAGTCGGGCCCGCCGGGCTCTTCGGCCACCGTCGCTGGAGCCCTCGGTCCAAGAGAACTCCAGGTCCGCCCTCCATCCACTCGCGCCGCGAACGTTAACCAAGCCCTAGCGGGACGGGCTGCGCGGGCCACGCAGGAAGGTGGCAGAACGGCCTGGCGGGGAAGGGGCCTGAGGGGGCAGCCTGGGCCCGCGGGCTCCCCGCCGGCTAGGCTCGGGTGGAGAGGCCGGCGGCCCGAGCCCACGGCTCGCGGAGGAACCGAGCGGCCGTCCCCGCCGGCTTGGGGAGGCGCGCACACGCGGCTGCTGCCACTCACCTGCTCACTCACCTGCCTAGCGGCTAACACCAGCCTTCTGGATGTTCTGAAAGATGGAAGACGCCATGACCAATGTCGTCATCAAGCTGCGCAAGGTGCCACGCCCCCTTGTTTGGCGGGAATCCTCCCGGATTGGATCAAAGACCATATTGTGAAATCTGAAATGTAGAGGAAAACTGGAATACACTTAAAAGATAGGTATAGGTGGGGCTGGAGTGATGACTCAGCGGTTAAGAGGACCCGAGTTCGATTCCCAGCACCCACATGATGGCCAACAACCGTCCATAACTCCAGTTCCAAGGGAATCCAGTGCCTTTATTATAGGATACTGGTGCACTTACACACATGCAGGCAATACACTCATACACATAAAAATAAAAAAAATATTTTTAAAAAATAGGTATAGACAAGAATTTTCGAAACAGAATTCAATGGCACAAGAAATAGCCCGAAGAATTAATAAATAAGACTACATCAAATTAAAATGTTTCTCACAGCAAGGAAACTTTAAGCAGAGGGAATAAGCCTACAGAATGGGAGAATTTAAGCCTACAGAGTAGGAGAAAAATCTTTGCCAGCTGCACTTCAGAGGGGGGCTAGTATCTATAAAGAGTAAAGAGAAAATTAAGCACCAAAATCCCTAACTGCCAATCAATAAATGGGCTAAGGATATGAGCAGACAATTCCTCCAAGAAGAAACACAAATGGCTGATAAATAATTTTTAAAAGTGTTCTCTGGGGCTGGAGAGATGGCTCACCAGTTAAGAACACTGACTGTTCTTGCAGAAGATCCAGGTTCAAATCCCAGGACCCACATGGCAGCTAACAACTGTCAGTAACTCCAGTTCCAGAGGATCCGAGGCCTCTTCTGTCCTCGGGCATTGCACAACACACTTACGTGCAGGCATAACACTCACACATAAAATAAAAATAATAAATAAAAAATCATTTTTTAAGTGTTCTCATTAGGGTAGTTGTGGTGGCAGGACACCCTTAATCCCAGCACTCAGAAGACAGAGTGAAGCCAGTATAGTCTACATAGCGAGTTTGAGGACAGCTAGGACTACATAGTGAGATCCTGTTTAAGAAAAAAGAAAGTTGTCGGGTGTGGTGGCACACACCTTTAATCCCAGCACTCAGGAGGCAGAGGCAGGTGGATCTCTGTGAGTTCAAGGCCAGCCTGGTCTACATAGTGAGTTCCAGGACAGCTGGGACTACAGAGAGACCCTGTCTCAAAAAGACCGAAAAAAACAAAGTAAGAAGAAAGTAGAGCTGGAGAAGATAGATGGCTTAGCAGTTAAGAACATTGGCTGCTCTTGCAGAGGACCAGGGTTCAATTCCCAGCACCCACATGGGAGCTAACAACCATTTGTAACTCTAGTTCCAAGGGATCCAATGCCCTCTTCTGACCTCTGCAGACATTGCATGACACAGGTGCACTTACATGCAGGCAAAATACTCATTCATTAAATATGATAATAATAGTGTTCTATCATCACTAAAAACTGGCTATCGTTAAGAAAATAGATGACAATAAAGGCTGGTATGTATGTAAGGAAAGAGGACTCTTTATTCACTGTTGGTAAAATTGTAAACTAGTATAACCATTATGGAAATCAATGTGGAGGTGTCTCAGAAATTAAAAAATAGAACTTCCAGGGCTAGAGAAATGGCTCAGTGGTTAAGAACACTGGCTGTTCTTGCAGAAGACCAGGATTTGAATCCCAGCACCCACATGGCAGCAAACAACTATCTGTAACTCCAGTTCCAGGAGATCTGACAGCTTATTCTGTTCTCCTTGGGCATTGCACGACACAGGAGCACTTACCTACATGCAGCCATTGCACACATACACATAAAATAAAAATAATTTAGAAAAATAGAACTTCCATATGACTCAGCTATACCGCTCCTGCACATATAACTAAAGGACTTTATATCCTACCACAGAGATGTTTACATATCCATGTTTACTGCTGTAGTCTTCAAAATAACAAGGAAATGAAACCAGCCCAACAGCTGAATGGTTAATGAAGATGTGGTATATACACACAATGGGAATTTTATTCAGCTATCAACAAAAGTGAAATTTGTGGGGCTAGAGATGGCTCAGTGGTTAAGAGCACTGGCTGCTCTTACAGAGGACCGGGGTTTGGTTCCCATCACCTACATAGCAGCTAACAACCATTCATAACTCCCATTCCAGGGGATCCAACGCCCTCTTCTGATCTCTGTGGGCATTGTATGGGACAGGTACACTTACATACACGCAGGCAAAACACTCAGATACATAAAATAAAATAAATGAAATTTTTAAAAATTTGCAAGGGCTAGAGAGATGGCTCAGTGGTTAAGAGTGCATACTGCTCTTGCAGAGGGCCTAAGTTCAATTCCCATGTCAGTAACTCACAACCTACTATAACTCCAGTTCAAGGGAATCTGGACCCTGCAGGCACTTGCACTCACATGCACATACCCACAGACACATACACAAATTTAAAAATAAATAAATCTTTTTAAAAAGAAAGTTACAGGGCTAGAGAGATGGCTCAGTGGTTAAGAGCACTGACTGTTCTTGCAGAGGGCTGGGGTTCGATTCCTAGCACCCACATGGAGGCTATGACCCACCCTTAACTCCAGTTCCAGGGGAATCCGAAACCCTCTTCTGACCTCCGCAGCATTGCAGGACACCAGTGCACTCACATACATGCAGGCAATACACTCATACACATAAAATAAAAATAACAAAAAAAGAAAGTTACAGAGAAAAATGAATGGATCTGTAAAGTATATTAAGGTAGGTGACTCCCTTTCAGAATGACAAAAATTGCATGTTCTCTCTCATATGTAGATTCTAGCTTTTTTGTTGTTGTTGAGATAGGATCTCACTATGCAGCCCTGGCTGACCTGCAACTTGTTATGTAGAATGGAATGGCTTCAGACTCACAGAGATCTTCCAGCTCTGCCCCCAGAATGCTGGGATTTAAAGACCGCACCACCACACCTGGCTTGGAGCCTAGTTTTTAATATCCTGATGTATGTATACAAATGGGTGTGAGTGTAGGTATAGGCTATGAAACTAGAAAGAAGTGTTGAGGAAGAGGGAGGTGGAACAAAAGGAAATATGACATGAAAGAAGAAAGGAAGCTACTAGGGGTGGAAGGGTACAGGGGAGAAAAGGGGATGGGGAGAAGGGGGGCAATCAACAAAAAGTTTGTTTGAAAATGGCATAATGAAACCTCATACATTGTAAGCTAATTTTTAAAATCCGTTTGTTAGAGCCCTCGAAAAATGCTGATAGTAAGGAACCTCCACAGAACAGATAATGACACACTGCCATGAATGTCATTCACCCAACAGGATCGAGCGGCCAGTGGCCAGTGTATGCTAGGCACTGGTGCGCTGGGTGCTGCTACCGAAGAGAGCATGAGCAATGCAGGGAAGGTCAGATCGCCAAGGAGCGGACAGCTTTCCAAGCAGCAGCCCCATGCCCAACACACTGCCCAGCACACAGCAGGCGCTTCGTGCAAGGCAAGGAATGGACTGGCAGTGTAAAGACCTCTGGGGATTCTGCGCCAGGTGCTGGAGCTGCAGGGCTGGACCGGCGGGGACGTTGCATGGAGGAGGGTAGGCAATAGGGGGCGCTGTGGGGTCGCCTGGCGGGCCACAGCCGCGCAGAACCCTGGGCTGGGTTGAGCAGGGCCCAGGGCTCCTTCCTGTCGGAGGTGCGGATGGCGGCTGGCGGCGGGGCTGGACTCGGGGCATCCACCGGGCTGGAGGCGGCGACGCTGCAGAAGCTGGCGCTTCGGCGGAAGAAGGTGCTGGGCGCGGAGGACATGGAGCTGTACGAGCTGGCGCAGGCTGCGGGCGCCGCCGTCGACCCCGACGTGTTCAAGTGAGTGAGAGTGAGCGAGGGTTGGGGTTTCGCGCTCGTCCTCCCGGCTGACACCCCTGCTTCGGGACTCCAGCCGATCTGAAAGCCCTGTGTCTTTATCCGGGTTTTCCGGGCGGAAGCAGACCCCCCCCCCCGCCCCCGGCCCTTTGCCCTGTGGCCGAGCAGGACTCACTGAGCACAGCATTTGTTCTTCCAGGATCCTGGTGGACTTGCTGAATATGAACGTGGCTCCCCTCGCCGTCTTCCAGATGCTGAAGGCCATGTGTGTTGGGCAGCGGCTGGCGAGCGAGCCCCAGGACTCTGTCTCCATGACTCTGCCCACTTCAGAGACCCGAGGTAAGAAGTGGGCTCTGTGCTCCTGGTGCAGGGGAGAGGTACGGGGGTAACAGACTGGCTTGGCTCTTAAAGGGCAGACCTGTCTGTGGGTTTCCTCTTAGGACCTTCAGGCCCATCCACCTTCTTGGGGCTCTAGATGGTCCCATTCTGGGGAGTGTACTCCTGGATCAAGGGGTGGTCCAAGCAGGCTAGTATCCACCTGCCTAACTCCTTCTGACCTCTTTATGGTGCCTTCATTCCACAGGCACAGGAATAAGATGGCTTTGGTCCTTGTTCTTCTGACATCACAGCCAGCCTTGGCTACATAGTTTTCAAGACCAGCCTAGATTACATGAGACTCTGTCTCAGAACAAATGAGAATGTGTGTGTGTGTGTGTGTGTGTGTGTGTGTTTATAAAACATTTATTTTCTGTATGTGTATATGTATGTGTGTGGTCATTTGAGTGCCTCAAGTGTCCATGTGGAGGTCAAGAGGACAACTTGTGGGAATCATTTTTCTCCTTCCACCATGTGGGTTCTGGGGATCAAGCTCAAGACATCAAGCTTGAGAACAAGTGCCTTTATCTACTGAGACATCTTGCCAGCCCATAGCACTATCTTTTGAGGCAGGAGCTTACTATGTAGCCCTGGCTGATCTGGAACTCCCTATGTAAACCAAGCTGGCCTCAAACTCTCGGAAATCTGCCTGCCTCTGCCTCCTGAGTGCTGAGATTAAAGGCCTGTGCCACCACGCCTGACTCAACACTGCCCACTTTTGCAGAGGACCTGGGTTCCATTCCCAGCACCCACATGGTAGCTAACAACTGTCTGTGACTCCAGTTCCAGGAGATCCAGTGCCGCCTTCTGTCTCTGTAGGCACTGCATGCAGGTGGTATACTTTACATACATGCAGGTAAAATACACACACACAAATAAATCCCATTGTAGATCAGGTTGGTTTTGAACTGAATACATAGCAAGGCTGACTTTGAACTCCTCACCTTTCTATTTTCACTATGGAACATGCCAAGCTTAGTATGTCTTTAAAATTATTTTATTTTTTCTTGAGACAAGATTTACTATAACCCTGGAACTTGATACAGAACTGAGGATGGATTTCTGAATTTCTGATCCTCCTGTCTGCAACTCCTGAGTGTCACAATGCCTAATTTATACAGTACTGGGGATTAAGCCCAGGGTTATGCATGCTAGGCAAGCACTCCACCACTGAACTTTACCTCCAGCCATTATTATTATTATTAATTTTAAGACAGAGTCTCACTAAGTTACCAAGGCGGAACTTGAACTCACTCTGTAGCCCAGTCAGGCCTTGAACTTTTTGATCCTCTAGCTTGAGAAACTAGTATTACAAAAGGACACCCCCCCCAAAAAAAAGAGGGAAAGAAAAGAAAAAAAAAGAAATCCTTCTGCCTCAGTCTCCCAAGTACATGAGCCACTGAACCCAATTTTTTCCAAACATTTTTTGTGTGTTTGTAAAGGTGAATACGCAGGTATATAAGTGGGTTTCTGTGTATGTGTATGTGTATGTGTATGTGTATGTGTATGTGTATGTGTGGAGGCCAGAGGACTACCTTGATGTTGCTGGTGTTGTTCCCTCAGGAACCATCCTGAGGAACCACTTTTTTTTTTTTTTAAACAGGGTCTCTCACTGGTCTGGAGCTCACCAAGTAGACTAGACTTGCTAGCCTGTGAGTCCCAGGAGATCACTTGCCTCTGCCTCCCAGTGCTGAGATTACAAGTATGTGCCATGCCCAGCTTTTTACATGGGTTCTAGGGATTTACCCAATGAGTTATCACCTCAGCCCTCAAACATTTTTTTATACACAATTGGATTAATCCATGGGGTACTGGGAATCGAACCCAGCTCCTCTGCAAGAGCAGTTAGTGCTCTTAACCACTGAGCCATCTCTCCGGCCCCTGGATTTTACTTTTAATATAATTTTTACTTATTATTTGAGAATTTCATACATACATGCAATGTATTTTGATCATACGATCATATTCTCCCTCTCACTTCTCCCCTGAAACTTTCCCTGGCATCCCTCCTGAACTTTTTTTTTTTTTTTTTTTTTTTTTTGAGACAGTATCTCATGTAGCTCAGGCTGTCCTGGAGCTTACTGCCCTGGAGCTCAGACTAGCCTTGAACTCCCAACCCTACTGTTTCCATCTCTCTTACATACCAGGATTACCGGTGGAAGCCATCATGCCTGTCATATTTCCTTTTACTTTCTAATATGGCTACTGGAAAACTAAGTATTATGTATGTGACTGGAATCATATTCCTGCTGGGCAGACTTCCCAGAAATACTAAGGAAAGATTGTTTGTTCATGTATGCATGTGCATGTTTGTGTGCATGCATGTATAGGGAGGCATCACTCACACACAGGAAAAAAAACACCTTAAGAAGTGTAGCTGAGTTAAGAGTATACATGTATACAGCCATCCTCATGTACGTCTTTGTCCCTTGGTTAGTATGTGATCTGGAAGTATTGCTGAGGCCCAGAGGGCAGCAGTACTGGCTGGTGGCAGCACAGACCAGGAATTACCCTAGACCACTAGACCCTGTCCACCAGCCTTGAGGACAGCTGTGCACTTTTGGGGAGCTGACTAGGTCCCCACCAGGACAGGAGTGGTTTTGGAGTAGCCTGTGACACTGCTACCAACCAGTGTGATGCAGACTTGATGTCACCTTGCCCTCCCTGCAGTACCCCTGAAGCAGGGTCTGTGGGCTTTTGCCCTCTGAGGTGTTCTGACTTCTCCTTGGCCCCCTTTTTTAACCTTCCTAACAGTGGCAATGCCTGCATGCCCACGTTACCATGAAGTCATACTCCCACCAAGAAAAGAGCAAGGCCCCTTTGGAGAATCAGCAGGAAGGGTTGGGAGAGGCAGGGCACCCTGTTCTTTACAAGCTGCATTCATAGGGGACCGTAAGCTGGGGCTCCAGAGGCCACTCCAAGATAAATGGTAGATGGGTCCCAAACTGCCCTGGCCCAGTCTCTGGCTTCTGGGACTTCCCAACTCATGGATGAATGGATAACAGGTGGGGCATTTGGTGGTTTTGTTGCTGTCAGGAGTCACAGAATGATGAGTGATCACCAGCTTTTTTTTTTTTTTTTTTTTTTTTTTTTTTTTTTTGGTCTTTTTGAGACAGGGTCTCCCTGTAGCCCCAGCTGGCCTGTAACTCACTATGTAGACCAGGCTGACCTTGAACTCACAGAGATCTGCCTGCCTCTACCTCCCAAGTCCTGGTATTAAAGGTGTGTGCCACCACGCCCAGCATGATCACCAGCTTCTTGCAGGGGTAGGAAAACTGATTTCTGGAGAGAATGAACCAGGACAGTTTGTGTATCTGGTACTGCCAAGGAATGACCTCATCTGAGAGCATTAGTTACCCACCTTCCTTCTACTCTACATGATCCTAATAGCCCTGTCATGAGAGAGCTGGTCTGAACAAAACTGGTCTTCCCACTGGGAGGCACTGCTTGGGCCTCCCAGTGTCATGTCACTGCATACCATTTTCCTTGGGCTTCTTCATCCATATGAGGATAAAAGCACGTGATTGCTGAAGGGTTCCAAGAATCTGTAGAGCTGATTTTAATATTTTTTTACTTGTTATTTTTATTATGTGTTTTGCTGCACATATGTAAGTGTACCACATGTGCAGTTCTTGCAGAGACCAGAACACGATGTCAGATTTCCCTGGAACTGTAGTTACAGATAGTTGTTAGCCACCAAGTGGGTGCTGGGAATTGAACCTGGGTCCTATGGAAGAATAGCAAGTGTTCTTAACTGTTGATCTATCTCTCCAGCCTGTTAGAGCTGATTTTAATGGATCTGCTTTTGGTTCCAAGTTATTTTTGTCTTCTGGTCCTGGGAATGAAACTCAAGGCCCCATACATACTAGGCAAGTACTATGCCACTGAACTGCACCTGCAACTGTAGTGTTTGCCTAATACTTCCTATGCCTGGGAATTATGCTGCATTCATCAGCCTGTCAGAATTAAAGATAATCATTTGTTCTTCTGTACTCTCTGTCACTGTTCAGTTTCCATAGGGACCTGCTCAATGTTCAGAGGGCTAGGAGAGGAAACTGATCTCTGTGGCAGGCTGAAGGAAAGCTGGCTTCAGAGTCAGACCCATGTCCAAGACCCACCCTGTTGATCATGGGTGAGCTGTCAGGAAACACCCCTTGAAGGAAGCACATGTGCATCTAAGGTCCCTAGTAAACAGCCACACTTGCCAAAGGACTATGACCTCCAAGGAAGATACCAGCATGTTGTGGCTGGTGCTACAAAGTGCCAGGGCACATCTATCCATACAGAGAGACAGGATCCATGCCCACTGACCAGTCAGTGGGAGCAAAAATGATGCCCATTTTTGCCAAAAGAAATGTGTAATGACTGCCCTCTGTTTCATGGTGTTGATGAGTAACTGGTAGGCTAAGTGGCCCAACATTACCACAACACATGATCCTGTCCTCCCCCCAAGCCCTGGGGGGACCCATTACTGCATCTCAGTTGAATCAAACACTTGGAGAAAAATGAAAGGAAGACAGGAGGAGCTGCAGTTTCAAGCACAGCACCCTGGTTAGTCTCTGATTAGCTGATATCATGAACCTTAAGGTACCTTGTATCTTTTCTCCAAGAGCACAATTTCTCATTGCAAGCTGTATGACTAAGCCAGGGTAGTATTAGTGCCCCAGTGCCAAACCCAAGGCTAGAGTTGCCCCCAAAGTGGTGGCAGGGGAATTCCTCAGAGGGACTGCCTCAAACCAGGCTGTAGAGAAGCCAGTTGGGATTCCACAGAAAGAAGCACTAAAGGCTAGGGTGTTGGTCCAAGGCATTGTGAGGGGACTTTGCATACTGAGGAACTACAACATGCCCTGAGACAAGGAGAGAAGAACACACTAGGTTTATTTGCAAAGAGGCACGGAGTTCACATGAAGTTCAAGGAATTTGGCCAATCATAGAACATGCCTGCAGGTGAGCCTAATTTCTACATGTTTTTTAACATGTTTGGTCTTTTAGTATTTCAGGCAACAACCTAAGCAAGTTGATCAGTGTTTAGGAATATTCACAGTCCACGCTTATCTTCAAGGCTAGCAGGGTGGTGGGTGGTGGTGGTGGTGGTGGAGGGAGCAGATGTGTTAGATCATGGACCTGCCATTTTAAGATGCTGCTCTTAGAGATAGGGTAACCCCAGAGGGATCTAACCACATCCCTACAGCTCTGATCCCTATCACTGTGCAGGCATAACAGCAAGATGCTAATAAGACTCCCTTTCCCACCTTCACAGCTAATAGGCAAAAATGGACAGGATATTGAGTTGGGGACTTGTTCCTTATCTAAGTGCTTCCGAACAGTAGTGCCTCTGTCAGCTGTGAGAAGACAGGGATGCAGCTCCACACTGCCACCCTCACTAGCCCGAGGAGTTAGTTCCCATAGACTGTTAGGGATCTCAACTCAAGGCCAAACCTGGGTTTAGGGCTTTGGTGCTGAAAATATTTCAAGTCTAGCAGTTTAGCGAAAAAGAGCTGGTTTTATTAAAGATATTTTAATATATGGACTCAAGCATAGGGTTAAGAGCAAAAGAGGTGCTCAGAAGATAATAAGGCATACCCAAGTAGAAGAAGGTAAGATATATCCAAATATAGGTATGAACTTCGCTAAAAAGAGTAAGCAATTCATTCTTTTTTTTTTTTTTTTTTTGGTCTTTTTGAGATAGGGTCTCCCTGTAGTCCCAGGTGGTTTGAAATTTGCTATATAGACCAGGCTGGCCTTGAACTCAGATCCACCTGTCTCTGCCACCCCCTACCCCTGTGCTGGGATTAGAGGCATGCACCATACCCAGCAATTCATTGTCTTAACAATAGCTATACATACCATTTGAGTGGCTTTCAGGTTACATCTCGTCTCAAAAGATTGCTGTTCTAGTTTGATTTTTGTTGCTGTGATAAAACACTCTGACCAAAAACAACTTAGGGCACGGGGAGGATTTATTTATTTGGTTTGCACTTCTAGGTCATAGTCCATCATTGAGGGAAGTGAGAGCAGGAACTCAAGCAGGAACTTGAAGCAGGAACCACGGGAGGAGGAACGCTGCTTGCTGGTTCACTCACACTTTCTTATATAGCTCAGGACAACCTGCCCAGGAAATGGTGCTATCCACAGTAGGCTGGTCCTTCCTATATCAATGAATTATCAAGACAATTCCCCCAGACATGCCTACAGGTCAGTCTGATCTGGAAAAATCTCTCAATTGAAACTCCTTTCTCAAGTCACTCTAGTCTGTGTCAAGTTGACAGTTAAAGCTAACTGGGGCAGTTGCTAAGAAACCATTTTTTCCTTTCTTCTGTTAAAAGAGATATGTGATGTGGCTCTAGAAGTCCCCTAGATGGAATTATAATCTGATAAAACCTGAAGCCACTGGGGTTGGGGTCTCTGGTAAGATTCCTAGAAAATTATAGGTTCATGGCTGGGAAAAGAGAAGGGCCTGAAGCAGTTGTTAACTGTGCTAGAATTCTTATTCTGTGACTGGCAAGGCTTCAACAAGATTCCAGGGTGAGGGGCTTCTTTCCCCCTCTCATGTCCCCAAGATTTTCCCTGTCTTTCTATCCTGCCTCACCTCCAAGTCAGGTATTCCTTGTAGTGAAGACCATCTTAGAGCACCCACTTCCCTGGGAAACATAAAAGTAAGGAGCTCTTTTTGTTCCCTGGGTGCTTCCTTTGGTTGGATGTGGAATTGAGCCCCTGCTGGGAGACTGTATTATTAAAGGACTTGGTTGCCTGAAATAATGTCTCAGTGCCAATTTATATGGAACAGGTTGGAAACAGCAGATAGATGGGGTTGTTGCCCAGGAAACAGACCTGGTGGGTGTGCTACAGCTGGAATTTGCCCCCATCCTGATTCTTGGGTTCTGTATCTTCTCAGGGAGAAACAGAGGCGGCCCCATTCTCGGCAGTGCACCTACATTGGCAGAACGTGGCAGCCGAGAAGGATCCATGCAGAGGATCCCCCGCCAGCCCAGTGCTACCAGACTGCCCAAGGTGGGCGGGCCAGGGAAGAGCACCTCCCGAGGCAGCTCATAGGCAGAACAGAGGCTGCACTTGGCACCACTGTCCTAATCCTTCTGAGAAGCAGAGCATCTGGATGGACATTCTCTACCATGTTTGGATATTATTAAAGCACAGAATTTGAGTGAGTTCTACATGCAGTCCTAGTTTTGCTACAGCTGAAATAGCTAGGAAACAAACCAGTGATTTTTATCTTTTTGGACCTTATTTTGGGTCTGAGAAAATATGTGTGCCTCTGGGTCTTTTATAAACAGCCAACATACTTCCCTCGGTATAAAGAGTTCCCTACAAGACCAACCTGTCACAATGCTGTCAGGCAGTGTGACCACACAGTGAACTGTTATAGCCTGTGATCCGAAAATGCCCCAAACATATAGACAGACAGATGAGTCTAGAGAAGGAAAGATAGATTTATTACGGCCGGGCTACACTCTTTCCTAAAGGGTCCAAGAGTAGCACTAAGCCTAAGCACTCTGGCTCTTTTTATTTTGATCATGTTGCTAGGCAAGCAAGCAGAATACAGAAGCTAATCATTGAGTGTTAAGCTTGAGCAAACATTATCAAGGAAATACATAAGAAAATACAATTTTCCATCCAAACCCCCTGCCCAAACCATAGTACATCTGCATGCCTTCCTCCTCATTCATAAACAGACATTATCAATCTTATTATTTACCTTGCCTTTTCTGGTCACAAAATTTCCTCTAGGGGGGTTTTGTTGTATAGCAATTGTATCCTAGAAATAAAGTTTCTCTAAGTCTTCCAACCAGAAAGGGGTCTGTTAGCAACAATTACTGTTTTGCAGAAGCAAGCCAAGCATAACCTACAGAAGCCATAAATCAGCAGTTAGCAGTTCTCTAGGATGCTCTGACCAGTTCCCAAGACAACCAGGGCCCAGCTGGCACTCCCATACCCTGAGCCAACTGCCTGATAATTTCAGAAACTGGAGTCAGCCTGAACTTTAACATGGTGTAGCTATGGTCAAGGTACATTCTTACAGAACCCAAGCTCAGGCATGGGTATGTTGTTACCTCTGTGGATCACACCAGTAACACTCCCTTCCCCACAAAGCCCTGATTCCTTACATTTAACCCGGTTTTAGAGATTTCATGAACACTCCCCACCCAGAGATATAATTTAAACCCTTATTTCCCCCATAGAGAAAATTCAGTGGGGGAAAAACTGACTCTACCTTCTGAGGAGTTAGCACATCTATATACTTTGACAGCTTGATATGTTTCTACAGGTCCAGTCACCAGCAGAGTCTCCTTAAAGGCATGCAGCAATGCTATCCTCACTCCCTACTCTTTTTTTTTTTAATTTTATGTGTATGCGTGTGTTGCCTGCCTGTAGGTAAGTGTATCCATGTCGTGCAATGCCAGAAGAGACTGCCAGATCCCCTGGAACTGGAGTTACAGACAGTTGTTAGCTGCCATGTGGGGATTGGGATTCAAACCTGGGTCTTCTGCAAAAACAACCAGTGTTCTTAACCTGAGCCATCTCTCTCTAGTCCCAATTTTGTGCTTTTTCTAGTGTTTATGACCTTTTTTGTGGTCTTTTTGAGACAGGGTTTCCCTGTAGCCCCAGCTGGCCTGGAACTCACTACGAAGACCAGGCTGGCCTTGAACTCACAGAGATCCGCCTGCCTCTGCCTCCCAAATGCTGGGATTAAAGGCATGCACCATCACACCTGGCTCATTCCCTACTCTTAAAGAGCAGACTGGAGCCTGGGCCAGCCTTCACTGAGGCTCTGAGACTGTCCGTTCAATGGCAAAGACAGACAACACAAGACTTGTGTTTACACAAAAACTTTCACCATAAGCAGCTCAAGGCAGCCATGCAGAGGGCCAGCAGCAGCCGCTGGAAGAACCACCTGCCAGCCACACCCATGCACTCAACTCAGCTCTTCACCCTCTGCCTACTCACATTCCATGCCACCTCATAACACCCCAGTGCTGCCAAGTCCTCCTGGGCCTCAGAGAACTCCCTTCCTTCATGCCTTTACCAATGTACCAATGCCAAAGGCCTGTTTGGCGTACATGAGGTCAAATTTGTGACCCAAATTGGTCCAGATCTCTGCAGTGATGGTGGTGGTGCTCAGATGCAAATAGCCCCCTGCACCTGGGCCAGGTCTTCTTAGACAGCATGGTAGGAGGCTGGTAGTTAATGCTCACCTCTCTGAGAAGGGGAACAAAGCATTCCATGGGGCTTGTATCAAGTCCAGAAATGGGCTACTTTCCCTTAAACAGAAGACTCACTGTAGGGTACCCTCTGATGATCTCCCCACTTCTAGGGAGAACATAGCTTCCCCACCAATAAGCACTGAACCTCCTTTGTGCTGGGTACAGTGCTAGGATGGCAGGAAGATGGTTCCAGGAAAGGGAAAAACAGGAAAGAGGAGCCTTGAGTTGGTCACACTGGCTGGGTCCCAAGAGGCCTGAAAGGCTGCTTCCCAGCAACTGTAGTGTGAGACAGGTGCCCAGGGAAGGGGATTGTCTTCCCTCTGAAAAGCATGCATTGCTAAGTATTCCTTGTGAATTATTTTCTCCACATGCTTCAATGAGATGGATTTTTGCAGCAGCACCCTGATATTCAGAGATATCTCTGGGAAGTTAATCTCCCTTCTGACCCACCAACCATACCCCTAGGGGGTAGTTCTGTGGTTAAGAGCACATTCTGCTCCTTCAGAGGACTGGAATTCTGTTCCCAGCACTAACCAGGGATTCAATGCCCTCTTCTGGCCTTCACCTGTGCACGCACATGCACACACACACACACACACACACACACACACACACACCTACACACGCCTTCTTCCCTTGCCTTCTCC